TGGAGTTGGCAACCCCAACCCCTCCGTACTTTGCTGGTGGCCGGGGGGACTTGGCAGCCCTGCTTCATGCTTCCTGAGCATGGAATGTGCCTCATCCACTGCTGCCTGTGCACTGAATTGACATCGGCCATTTCTGCATTGTCATTTTTGTCACTCGTTTGTCCCTGTTGCTTCAGGGGTCCCCCCCCCCAATGTGTTTTGGTCTCTCTAATAGTCCCAGAGGGAGCAAAACACATGTGGAAAGGGGGGGTAACCCAAAGCAATAGGGGCAAATTATAGGCCCCACTGGTGGACCTCCTGGTGGCACCTGGTATTTCTGGCCCCTGTGTGACACAGAGTGTTGGACTGGATGGGCCATTGGCCTGATCCTACATTGGCATCTCTTATGTTCTTATGAGTGACAAAAATGACAATGCGGAAGTGGTGATTTTCATTGGGCTGTCCACCATGACTGCAAGATCTCTTTGTGTTTAGTGCATTGCCATTTTAAACCTCATTAGTTGTACTTACAAATTTTTGCCCTGTATATGCATCATTTTGTATTTACTCACTGCCACTTTGTTGCCCAGTTTGAAAAGAACATTCTGGAATCTTTCACAGTCTGGTTGTGTTCTCCTTGTCCTGAATAATTTGGTGTATTTTCTTCTTGCCGTTACAGAATTGTGCAACGTCCTCCATTTGGACTCCTCCCTGATATGTTTAAAAGCATGTTTGAATGTTATTTTTCAGTATGCTTGATTAGGGATTTAACCTTGCTGCATCTCTGCCAATTAGATATGCATTTGTTTTGACTGATAATTGGGTTATTACTATGTGTTTGGTTTTTTTACACTGCTTTGAGGATGCTTAAAATGTGTACAAATAAGTCCACAGATGTGGCCACTTCACTGCTACATCTATGAACAAATTAAATTAAGCTGGTCTTAATCAGTGATGTGGGGTAGAAAATTTCCCCAAATGGAAAATGTTCTGATGCTGTATTTTTCTGTGGAAATTTTTCTGCCCCACATATGTAAATATAGTCGTAAACAAACATATCTTGCCCTCAATATTGCCACCATTGGACAGGTGATGTTCTCCCACCCTCTCCTCTTTGAGGATCTCCTCATAGAATCATAGAATGTTAAGTTGGAAGGGACCTTGCAGGTCATCTAGTCCAACCCCCTGCACTCTGCAGGAGCATAGCCGAAAGGTAGCCCTACATACCTACAACATACCCGAAAGATGGTCGTCCAGCCTCCGCTTGAAAACATCCAGCGAAGGAGCACCCACCACCTCCCGAGGCAGACTGTTCCACTGCTCAACCACTCTTACAGTTAGGAAGTTTCTCCTGATATTTAGCCGGTAACGACTCCCTTGTAATTTCCACCCATTAGATCTAGTCTTGCAAACTGGAGCAAGAGAGAATAGATCTGCTCCATCTTCTACATGACAGCCCTTCAAATACTTGAAGACTGCAATCATGTCCCCTCTAAGCCTTCTCTTTCCCAGGCTAAACATACCCAACTCTTTCAGCCTTTCCTCATAAGACTTGGATTCCAACCCTCTCACCGTCCTGGTTGCCCTCTTCTGGACACGCTCAAGCTTGTCAACATCCTTCCTAAAATGTGGTGCCCAAAACTGGACACAGTACTCCAGGTGAGGCCTGACCATAGCAGAATAGAGTGGAACTACCACCTCCCTTGATCTGGACACAATGCTTCTGTTAATGCATCCTAAGATTGCATTAGCTTTCTTCACAGCCACATCGCACTGCAGGCTCATGTTTAGCTTGTGATCAACCAGAACACCTAGATCCCTTTCACATGTGCTGCTGTCAAGCCAAGTCCCTCCCATTCTATATCTGTGCCTTTGTTTGTACCTGAGTGTAGGACTTTGCACTTATCTCTATTGAAATTCATTTTGTCTCAGCCCACTGTTCCAGCCTATCTAGATCATTTTGGATCCTGACTCTTGTCTTCTTCAGAATTAGCAATCCCACCTAGCTTCGTGTCATCTGCAAATTTTGCCTAATTCAAGCTAGTCTTTATCTCCTCTGAGTTTATCCAGACAACACTACTGGCAAATGAATGTCTTGCTAAATCAAAGCAAAGCATTTTGCAAGACAACACACACTGCCTTGTGGAACCCAAGCTGCTTGTTCCTTGCAAGACCTCAAAGCTCTCTTCTGATCTGCTGCTGGTGTAGATCTTGCCAGCAGATCATTATCTCCTGTGTCATTCAGTTAAGCCGAAGACACCTGGGCAGGAACGTACAAAGCAGAATAGGAAATCTATCATTCCACTGTAAGAGGCCTCCATCCCCCCTATATTCTTAACATGGTTGCTTGGAGGTATTTCAATGGTTTGTGCCATTATTGAAAGTGGGTATTGTCCGGTTATTTCTCCTTGCTCAAAAAAGGTGTTTGCTGGTGGTAAGATTTACCGGTTTGAGAGTAAGGTTGTAACTGAATTAAGATGAAACCAGCTGGATACAAGACTGAAAATGGAATATCCTCATCCTACAATGCCACCTCTCCTCACTATTGAATAATCACCTTTTTGCGATTAGGTTTTGTGGTTTTTATATTAGGGAATGTGGTTTAGAGAAAGAGTTGAAACCCCATCAGCTCTCCATTAAAAAAAAAAAAAGATTAAACCATGGCTATAAATTGAAAAATTTGCGTTGTGATAAACATGATTGTAGCACCCTCTGCTGGCAAACTGAGGTTCTGCTAGCAGCAAGAACGAGTCTGGCTAAAATCTTATTGGGCAAGGTCCCCCTTGAAATCAATAAAACTTACCCTTAACAATAAGTAGTCCTAGGAATTAGAGCATTAGAAGGCATGGGGTGAACTTAGAAACACCACCGAAATAGAAATAATAGCAAGAGAATTATGTAGCTAAATCTTCTAGAGCACACTGGAATCTTCTAGAGAAATGGCATTCGATGGTGCACTTACTGAAGTGAAGTGGGGCTGGGCAATGTCTGGATGGAAAGGCCACTTACATATCAGCAGAAAAGGATGCAAGTTCAAGGAATATGTAATACATTGTTCTCTTAGATTTCCAGACCACCTTCCTTGCATTGGGACAGCACATCAAAAAGCATTTAAAAATCAAAAGAAAAAAGTAACAGCTGCCTTAGAATTACACCATTTAACCTTAGGACTCAGAAGCCACCAACGGGTGTGTGTGTGTGTGTTCAGCATTCTTCTGAGGCACAGACAAGGGTGCATGTGGGCTATATGGTCTTTTATTGCTCTCCCCAAAGGGAAATTCAGACCATGAAGTGTGAAATCATTGTGGGTTTTCTTGCGGTCATCAAAAATGTCCTTTATGGAGACAGCGCCATCTGGGGAAACCAAGACAGAGCCTTGAAGAATGGCTTAATCATGGCTCATGGAGAAATCTTTGCTCTTGCCTATTTCTACACAGCTGTGTAGAAGCCCCCACTGATGCCTCTCCACAGGCTCCAGGTGCAGATGGGGCTGAACTTCTAGAGAACATGAACATGAGAACATGAGTTTCATTGCACAGAAACTCAGGCTCCTAACAGAAGACACAGAAATAGTTGTATGTAGTCTCTCCATCAAAGATGTAATGCTTCCCCCTCTGCCCAACCCCCAACAATAGCTTAGGGAAGCAGCAATACATTTTTGATACTTCTCCCTCACTGCAAATTAGGAGCTGTCTTTGGAAGAAGTCCCAAAGCAAAACTTTGTTTTGTCTCTTATGCGTAGCCCTTTATGAATTCACTTCCATACATACATTCAAGACCACTACCGGGGTGAGATTCTAACCCAGCCCTCTGTCCTAGGTGGTCCTGAAGTACGCTGGCTTTCACAGTAGCCTAGATGCAAAGTTTTGTGTTTTTAAAAAAGTTCAGGCAGGTAGCCAGGTCGGTCTGACGCAATAGGTTTGAGTTTAGTGGCACCTTTAAGACCAACAAAGTTTAATTCTGGGTATAAGCTTTCGTGTGCACGCAGGATGGGCTCAGAAGACCGTAACTCTGCTTAGGAATTCTACTGAGAGCCATTCAGAGTGGTCCACACCCCCAAAAGGGAGAGGATATAGAAGATACAAGGCCTACTGAACAAGACAGGAATATACAGCAAAGCCTGAATGCCAGCTCTCTCATCACTCATCGCTACGCCCAGAACTTCTGCTTACCCTTTTGCACACTACAAGTAGTCCACAGACTGGTCCTCTTTAGGGAAAGTGCCTCTATAAAAAGCTGCAGACTTCCACTGAAGCACACTGCCACTGTGGTTATCAACCGGCCTTCACATAGAGGTGATAAAACACACACTGTGATGGAAAATGGGCATTCCTCAGCTCTGCAGCCAACCCTGCCCATGGATTGGGGAACAACAGGCTAAATATGGACAACAGGGTCAGCGGGATGAAGCAGTGTGACTGGCAACACCTGGGCACAGTGGTCAAGGGAGCTTGGTATGATGCTGATTGTTCAAGGATTCTCTAACTTGCTCAGGAGCCACACGTGGCTCTTCTGAGCACCACTCCCCCCATGTTCCAGGAAAGTGGGTAAAGTCTTTGCTTACTAGATGGGCTTCTGGTTGGGCAGGTGGTTCGCCACCATGAAACCAGCCACTATGGGAGGAATGGGTAAGCTGCGAGCCTCCTTGAGGAGCAGCCTTATGCCAAAGATGAAAGTAAAGTTGGATCTTTTGGTTGACAATAACTGTAAATATGGCTCTCTCTGTGAGCTGCAAAGTGAGTACCGCTGCTCCAACCAAAATAAAGGAACAGGGATGTAGATACTGATGCTAGGAGGCCGGTGCAGTTCCGGCCATTTGTTCGCCCACCTCTGGGTTTGGTCTTTGGGCAGAACTGTGATGTGTTTACAAGCAGCACTTTGATATTAGAGAAACAGGCATACTTTACATACTCTGAGAAATTAATGAGACTCAGATCACACTTCAATATCAACAGAAATAGACCAGCTAGAAATATTTCAGTTTATTTAACTTGTTAAGTAGAATATGAACTTTTAGCTAGTAGTACCAGAGAGTGGACTGTTTTTGTTTTTTTTAACTGTTTGGTGCTTAATGAACACAGTTTTTACAAAGGATCTCAAAGAGAAACAGGAGGGCCAAACCCCAGGAAGCAAATAAGTGCATGTTTTAAACAATGATTATACAAAAAAAAATGATGCATACTCCATATTCCCTTTTTTTGATAATGTCAGAAAGTGCAGATCTGAAAAGGTAGGAATTTCTATTTACAATGCTAACCAGTACATCAATACGGGAGGAACAAAACTTTTGTCACCTCAGTCGCAGGGGTTTTGCCCTTGCTTTAACAGCCACTCAGCTGGGAAAGGTTAAACAAGCACAGAAAGACAGACTGCCAAAGCACAAAAGAAAAGGAGGGGGAGCATTACTACACCTGTGACACCAGATCAAGGCTAAAGTTCTCAACACTTTCCTTTTATGAAAATTCATTCAGCATCACTGGCTGTTGTAATTAGCACAGAGGACCTTTCCTAAAAATAAGTGCAAAAAGGTCCACCTCAAGCTTATATCTAGAGCATGTTTTCTTAAAAGGGGAGTGAGTGGAGAAAATCTCTGCAGGAACACTTTGTTGCATGAGTCCTCCCCGGGGCATGTGTAGGCAAGCCAAGTGGTAGGAAGAACGCTGTCCCAGCAAAGTACACAATTTCAGCTTGAGCCTCAAGAGTAACAGTCCCTTGTCCGACCTCAGCTCTGCAAGAAATGAATAAGCCCAGTCCCTTGTTTCAAAGCAGGTATCTCACTGATGAGAGGAGAGTCAAAACACAAGCTGGAAAAGCCAGTCACGTACCCAAGCCCCCCCCCCCCAATCAGATGAAGCTTATCTGTCTAACCCCCTCAAAAAATACTAGGGTTGGGGGGGGGGTTGCTTACCATTCATCAGTATCCATTGAAAGAATTAACAATTGTCCATGGTTGTAAACAAGGGATTTTTTTTATTATTATGAAGAACTTAACACAGAAGGAGAGCATTATGGGGGCAGTGATCATCTTACCCATTCCCCCCGCCCAAATTTTAAATATTTCCTAGGCTACCAAGTCATCTGCCTGGAACAGCAAACAAGAGAACCAAATTCATATTTATTTAATGGTTGCTGATTTGGGAACCACATGGCATACACGAAGAAAAGACAGCCACATCATCCTCCATAGAAAAACTAATGCATGCAATTACTGCTTCCATTACCATAGACCCCAATGACTACGTGGGAGGGGAGGGGAAGGCGTAGTAGTTGGTCTGACAGTTGCTAGACAAAGATTAGATACTTATTTTTTTACCTCAGAAAGCTAGATCAGTGCTTTGTATTTAATTGGGCATACATACTGTACTGCTGTCTCATAACACATCACACCATTAAAAAAAAAACCCACAAAACTGGCATGCAGGCAACAAAAGAAAAAAAGGGGGGGGAGAAAAACTGCTAGTGAGAAAGAAAATGGCAGCAGATACTGGTCAGAGATTAAGCCTCCTAGGAAAAAGGAGACACCAAGCAGGTTGGAATATCTTGCTCTAACCCCTTTGTCCTCAGTTCACTACATCAACCACAGTAAAGTCATGGCAAGAGAGTTTAATTTCCTTTTTTTTTTTTTGAAATGTGGCATGATAAATTATGGATAGTAAATCTCCTGCTTGTATTTAAACCAGAATAAGGAAGGGGGGGTGGGGGGAGAACCAAAGTTCCTTTCCACATAAGGCACAGGACAAAATAAACCCCATTTACATACTCAAGGCGAATGATTTTTTTTTAACTGATGCAAATATAGTGACTCAAGCACATTATTCATAACAAAAACCCCACTGTTGTACAAAAGAAACCGTTAATGCTAAAGTTTTATTCTCGTACAATTTGCAGGCTGGAGCTGAAATGATTGCTCTAAGTTTTTAATGTTAAGACCGAACTATAATACAACCAGAACGTGATGCTGAGTTGGAGCTGGTACATTTAAAAAAAGAAAAAGGGAAAAAAAAGAATTCAGACATGATTTTCTTTTTAATACAGTTTGTTTCAAGAACATTATAGTCAGCGAGCTCTCCTAAAACAGAAGAAAAATAAGGGAGCTGTGTTAAGATGAGGAACAAAAAAAAAATATTTAAGGTTAAAATGGGCAAAGTGGTTTACTCCGCAGCAAGAAGAGGAGGGGCGGTGGATGGCGCTTGGTGAGGGGAACACATTCAGCAGCACTTGCTCTTCCAGCCTGTCACTCCTCCGCCACTGCTGATATCTACATTTTCACTGTTGGGCTCTTTTACAGGGGTCTACAATAAAGAAGCAAATACATGAGAGTTACAAGGCGTCCCAAGGTTCCAACGGCCATTTCTCAGTCACTGGAAACAAGTCAAGTGGAAGATTCAGATAATGCTATTCTTCTGAGCACTTAGTGCCAACAATGTTTTACGTTCTTAAGGAAGCAAGACAGGAGGGGGTTGGCAGGCAGGCGGGAGTCATACTGTAACTAAATGGTATTTTAAGTACACAGCCATGTTCTCGTGAGTCTTGATTTCCAAGAGATTTGGGGAACACTGAACAACACTTGATTTTGAGCTTATGGCCTCTCACAATGATGCTGCAAGACAAGTTACTATTTGGGGGGAAAGGGGGCTGATATGACAGCTTACAGTTTGGGGGGGTGGGTTATACACTGGGCCACAAGAGCTCTCAAAGCAAGAAATTAAGTCCTTAGTTACCTTTCGAAGAATGTCTTCTGCTAACGTGAGGAATGCCTTCTCAATGTTTATATTTGCTTTTGCACTAGTTTCGAAAAACCTAATCCCGTGCTCCCTTGAAATCTAAACCATAAAAAGAGAGAGAAAAAGTCTGTTAATTTGGTAAACACTTCCTGCAGCTGGCGCATGTGGGCAAAGGGCAACAGGGCCACCGCTACCCTTAGACTCCCCTTCCAGCAGTGTACTGAACACCACTTAACCACAGCAGCAAAAGTCAAGCACTCATAGTAAAATATAAAAGCCAGTCCTGCAGCTCAAGGGGCACCCTTTTCATAACAGGCATGACATGCTCAATGCAGAGAATGGGGTTAGCATGCTGAAAAACAAGACCCCATTGCACTAATGGGCTGGATTTCCAATAGCCCTCCAGACTGTTCCCCAGGGAACCTATGGGAGAGATCTCATTCTGAGGGGTAAAGGAGAAAAGAAACCATTTAACTACATAAGAGAAGCTGTGCTGGATCAGGCCAATGGCCCATCCAGTCCAACACTCTGTGTCACACAGTGGCCAAAACCTAGCTGTCATCAGGAGGCCCACTAGTGGGGCCAGAAAAAAAAATTGCAGTTTTCACAGTGACCAGACTGAAGTGGTATATTATAAGAGGTCAAAATCAAGGAAGAAAATCTTCAGTCTCATCGGTTTTCAACTTCAAGTTCATATCCTGAGATTTTTAAAATAAAAAATAGAACGTGACAAGCCTGGGTTTTTCACTTCTCATTATAATAGCAAAGGGACGATTCTGCAAAGCAAATGCAACACATCTACTGAGTTGAGTTAGACAGCTGTTGGGTCTGTGAGAAATCTCAACACGTGCAAGTTCACCCCAGATTTCCAGCCCTGACTAAGCTGCCCTGCCCTCCGTGCACATTCAAGTGAGGTCACCCCACGTGGCAGCTGCCCACTGCACTCTTCCAGGGAAGGTTCTCCCTAGCAAGCTTGATGATCAAAACAGAGACCAGAGACTTTTCACTGGTCAAGGGCAGGAGAAGTCTGGCCCATAGCCTCCTTGCCTCTGGACAGGCTGCCACTCACCTGCTCGCCTTTTGCTTTTGGTACCACCCTCTTGTCTTCCATGTCACATTTGTTTCCTAGCAGCATCCTCTCCACATCTTCATTGGCATGCTAGAGTGGAATCAGAAAGCAACTCTTAATTGTCTGCGCAGAGCCCCATACCAATTTGAAAGCAGAAATGAATTTATGTAGGTATGTACTGGCCACCAGATCCTACAGCGTTTGAGGACCACACCTTTTACTCAAGGCTACTGAGTATTTCAAGGCTGTTGAAACCTTTGAAATAAGACAGTCAAAATATATTCTATGGCAACTGAAGCCTGTGTGGCAAAAGAATCAGAGACAAACAGTCTTGGCCAGTCTTTGCTGAAGACCTTTCAGTGCCTTAGAAATTTCTGTTGAAGACACCAAGTTGTTTACTAGTTTCAATGAAGTTAATTTCCTGTCTCACTAAGATATGTATTACAGCTATGTATCTTTCCAGAGGCAAGGGATGGGTGATTAAGTCAACAGGTGCTAATGTGCTGTATAATATAGACTGCCTGAAGGAGAAACAAAGTTGTTTAGAAAAATGCCCAGTTTAGAAACTTTCACATCTGCATTACAAGGGACAAATAGGCCCCCTTAAGCCCTTAACTTAATCAATCACCGCAAAGACAGCCACTGGAACAGAACCAGAGAACCTCTCCTAATGCCTGGCCTGCAGGCAGTCCTATACCAGCTCCTATTGAAAGCACGAATGAATTAATCCCTCTCCCCCCAAGTGTGCCTCAGCTCCATCAAGCAAACATTATGAAAGGTGAGGGGTTCAGCTTCCAAATCACAGCCACTAGAAGTTACATAAGCTGAAGGCAACTTAAACCACCTCGTCCAAATATGCATAGGAGGATAGTAAGGCTCCAGTTATGCCTTGTTACTCAGTAGAACTGCATTCAGCAAATGGGCGTGATGCGTCAATTGCTAGGCTGCAACATGAGCTCGAACAGGACCCTGCCTCAAGCCTCGGCTTGCCAAGCACTGAGGACACACAATTTGTTGTTGTTGTTGTTGTTCAGTCGCACAGTCAAGTCCGACTCTTCGCGACCCCATGGACCAGATCACGCTAGGCCTTCCGGTCTTCCGCCGTCCTCTGAAGTTTGTTCAACTTCATGTTCGTTGCATCTATGACACTGTCTAACCATCTCATCCTTTGCTGTCCCCGTCTTCTTTGACCTTCAATCTTTCCCAGCATCAGGGTCTTCTCCAGTGAGTGCTCCCTTCTCATTTGGTGGCCAAAGTATTTGAGCTTCAGTTTCATTATCTGGCCTTCCAGGGAACAGTCAGGGTTGATTTCTTTTAGGATTGACTGATTTGATCTTCTTGCAGTCCAAGGGACTCTCAAGAGTTTTCTCCAGCACCATAGTTCAAACGAATCTATTCTTCGGCGCTCGGCCTTCCTTATAGTCCAACTCTCGCAGCCATACATGACTACTGGGAATAGCATTGCTTTGACCATGCGGACTTTTGTTGGCAGGGTGATGTCTCTACTTTTTATCATGCTGTTTAGGTTCGCCATCGCTTTCCTCCCAAGGAGCAGGCGTCTTTTAATTTCATGGCTGCTGTCACAGTCTGCGGTGATCTGGGATCCCAGGAACATGAAGTCTGTCACTACTTCCACGACTTCCCCTTCTATTTGCCAAGGAGTAATGGGGCTGGATGCCATGATCTTAGTTTTTTTGATGTTGAATTTCAAGCCCACTTTTGCGCTCTCCTCTTTTACCCTGAGCAAGAGGCTCTTTAGGTCCTCTTCACTTTCTGCCATTGGAGTGGTATCGTCTGCATATCTGAGGTTGTTGATCTTTTCCCCAGCAATCTTAATTCCCGTTTGTGATTCATCCAGACACACAATTACCAGAGTCCAAATCTAGGCACCTCTGCAGTATCCACTGTGGTCCTGCTGTGTAGCAGAAAGGGAGCCATGAAACAAGCATCTAATGTACTGTAGGATGCCAGTCAGATCTGGGAGATGGGAGAATGACACATGTAAAGGGATTTTTCCCCCAGCAGATCCCTGAAGGTTACATCTAAGCAGGTCAGGCAACCTGACAGACCTAACTTTCTAATTGTTTGAAGGAGAATTAATACCTACTGAATCCTGAAAATAAGAGGCATGTATCAATAGCTAAAGCAGCAGCAGGGTTGGGGGGGATTTACTGAGAGGGAACTGCTACTACCAGGTAGCTAAAATTCAAACAACAATTCCAAGATTACCAAGCTGGCCCCATTGCTCCTCAGGCTGACAGCACACAAGTAACATCGGGCCCGCCTAGCACCTCCAGACAGCCTTCCAAGCAAGCCTCTCCCTTCTCTTGTGGCCCTAATAAAAGCTAGTGCCGGAAGTCCTGGCCATCAACTTTGTTTACCTACGGCATACATGGATGGCAGAACTGCAGTTCAGGCTGGGACTCCACCAACTTCCATGAAAAATCATAAGCACAGGACAACAATAGCAAGGTGTGTGTGTGTGTGTGTGTGTGTGTGCATGTGCTGCAGTGATGAAGAGGTTCATTTCAAAATTTAGTTACTTAAAACTTGCACTAGACTAACAAAAAGAGCTTCCACCAGGAACAGTGTGGCATATTTTTACTGAAGGCTCCAGAATCAAGTTTAGCCTCAAGCAATGCTTCTAAAAAGCACTGTTGTGAATTAGCACCACCCTCCTCCCTTACTTTTTTCTATTCCTCCATTCCCTTCTAAAATCTGCAATTTTAATTTAAATGTTGAGAAGTCTGTTTAAGTAATACCTGCCATATCAATTCCAAGCATGGACTGCCTTCTGCCTTGTCAATTTGCTCAGCAGCTGAGAGCCAATGAAATCCCCTACACAATGGCTACTGGGGGGGGAGGGTATGTTTAGCGGCTGCACCTCAACTAAGAAACTCCTTCCCAAGTAAGTGTCACCTTATATCAAACGTGCTGACTTCTAAATGCAGGGAGAAATCTGTCCTATTCACTTAAGGCAGGAGTGGCAGTTGGGGTTTTAATAAAAAGAAATCATTACAGGAAAAACACATACAGAAAAAAAAGAGCTCGTTTAGGTAGTTTTGATACTGTATAGGCTAGCTTCAACTAATCTTGGTTAATTAGCATTAGCTACTCCAAGTGATCTGCTGCTTGGTTTTATTTATGACTGTTCTATAGATTTCTAAGCCACCGTGAATGACGTGGTCAGCAGAAGGTGAGAAAAACATTTTAATAAGCAGAACCAATTTGAATTATCCTGGAGCCAAACATGTCCTAATAAACAGGCAGTCCTGTTTATTAGCCTCTGCCCTCCACAGGGAGCCCATCTGGAAATGGCTCAAGGATGATAAAGTACTGTAAAACGGAAAGAGGCTGAGGAGATCCATGATTAAAGCGTTAACTGATGTCATCACCTACAGAAGCCTTTGTGCAAATTACAGCTCAGTGGTTTTTTCACTAACGGTGCTGCGTCTCTTTCTTCCACCTCATTTGACACTCATCCAAGCACCCTGTGGCTCAAGTGGTTAAGACGCTGAACTGCAGGCTGTGGAAGGTCAGTAGTTCAGCAGTTCGAGACCTGGGTGCCGCATGATGGAGTGAGCTCCCATCTCTAGTTCCAGCTCCTGCCAACCTAGCAGTTCGAAAGCCAGAAATTGCAAGTAGATAAATAGGTACCACTTCGGTGGGAAGGTAACAGCGTTCCGTGCACCTTGGTGTTTAGTCATGCCGGCCACATGACCACGGAAATGTCTTCAGACAGCGCTGGTTCTTCGGCTTTGAAACGGAGATGAGCACCGCAACCCTAGAGGTGGATTCGACTGGCTTTCGAGCAAGGGAATCTTAACCTTTTAAGCACCCTGCACTCCAACCTCATGAGCAGCTCTATACCACTTGTATTACTTGGGTATCTTAAGCAGATTATTCTCCACTTTGTATAAAAGCAGATGTTCCACTTACATTGTGCCACCACTGTAAGTGGAACCAAGGCCCATCAGACTGTTACCAATGATGACTCCTTCAATATTTTTACATTCAAGAGTGCACAAGGTGACCTTCGTTTAGGAAGAGCCTGATAAAACTCATGAGATTGACAGAGACATTACAAGGATGTTCATATGACTAAGAGGCAAACTATTACTAGGAACCCAAAGAGGTTGCAGAATCATCTGCTGTGGACATTTGAAATCTGGGCAGTCAGCTCAAAGATATGTTAGCTGCAGAAGCTCTTCACTGAATCTGCCCAGTCAATAGGGCCCCTCTTGCACAGGAACTTCATTATACAGCAGCAGTTCGAGGCACATGCAAAACACACATTACAACACTTGGAACAAAGACCTCCCCAGGACTCAACAGGGATACTGGTTTCCTTATCTCATTACATATGCTAACTCATTCAGTCCTCACATATGCATTCTCATACAGAGGGACTATACATCCTCTATATTTTAGTGTATTTCTTTTTCAGAATAGTATATTAGAATAGTGAATGTTATACAAGGAATATTGGAATGTTTGGCTGACATACACTGCTTCTACCTCGAAAGAGAAAATTAAAATGCTGTTAAGTGACCTCCACGCTCTGAGACTGAATGGAGAACCTCAAATTTATTTTAACATATTTATTGCTTTACTACTGTTGACCTTATAACCTTAGCGTGTTATTTAATTCTGGTTTTGCATAGCTTAAAACATCTTCATCGTGTTACATGCTAATGTGCTATTCAGCCCGTCTATGAGTTTGAAGCTTACCTCCCATTCCACTGTATTTGAAAAAGTGTGCTTTGCACACAAAAACCCATACCTTGAATAAACCTTTGTTGGTCTTAAAGGTGCCACTGGATTCTAAATTTGTTCTACTGCTTCACACCAACATTGCTGACTACCTGGACACATCCTACTCTGTTCCAGAAGGCCACTTTCTAATATGCAGCCCTTCAAATACACTGTATTAAATTTTTGTTCTCACCTCATCTATGTTTCTGAGCCATTTGCTGATGTTTTCAAAGCTTTTGGCATTGGTGATGTCATACACTAGCATGATTCCCATGGCACCCCTGTAGTAGGAGGTGGTGATGGTGTGAAACCGCTCCTGCCCTGCTGTGTCCCTGTGAAGGAAAGCAAAGACACATTCAAATACAGCGTAGCCATACTTTAGGTTAAAGAAGAGCAGCCAAATAGCAATATTAGGCAGCCAGTAGTCACAAACAACTAAGTTCCACTTCAGTATCATAAGACAGTAAGAGACCTGATTTTTCTTTGTGTAGGAACATTTAATACAGACTACCTTACCATTTCAAGGATCAGTCTACTATAGGATAGGTCCCTCTTACACCACATACAGTGGATGCATTCACAGTAGCGTGACAGGAATGCTTACCATGGCAGATTGTACACCTCCCAACCTCCATAAGAAGCCCATTGAGTTACACTCAGTAAGCAACCCTGGGGGGAGGGGAGAACCTAACATAAAGGTCCTTTTGTCCAATATCCAGTAACTTCTGAGGCTCCCTGAAAATTTTGGACTGTAAGCAGATTCACATGGCTCTTGCAGCACCATTGAGTTGCTAGTTTGGGCCCAGATACAGGTCCTGTGAATACACAGGTGCAAATCTAGAATACATAAGCCGGAAAAGCTTCCGAGTGATGGCTGAGCAAATACACATTGAGTCACTCTGATGTTTATCTAAAACATTTGTATACTCCCATTCCAAAGCTCAAGGCAGCTCATGAACACACAATGTAAAATTCACAAATAACCCCCCCCCCAACCTCTTCATGCCTACCAGAAGGCAGTGAGGAAGGATGCTCTTTGGCTCTGGTATCAATGCAGGGAAGAGTGTTCCTTGGTTACCGAACTTTGGGCAGTGAGGGGCCTCCATCGCCATGGACTCCAGAGGTGTTATGTGTCACTGTGTACTCTGCACAGCATCCCAGAGGCCCTTGCAACCTAGAGGCCATCCCCTCCACAGAACACTCATCATAGTGACTGACATTTTACTAATATAAATATAAAGCCCAGATGGCAGCTCCAGTCGGTCAACCAATTTCAAACCAATCCTGAATTACAGTACAAGAACACGGTGTGTATAAATAGGCAGCAGAGCTCTACTTGAAGGAAATTTCCCTCACGAAGAACACAGCATAATAGTGCAGCAGGGAATCAAAATTACCTGACTGTTCAGGCAGCACTTCTGCCTGGACTGGAAACAGAATAACTTAAAGAATCACAGACACAATAAGAGTTTGTAGGGTATTCTCAGCTAGCTTCAAGGAGATGAGCTGTCACCAGAAGATCTGCAGGTACTGTTGCGCAATGCCAAGGCCCCCCCCCCCCCAATCTCTAGTGAAGACTTTCATTCAACATGACTAAAGACATTTCTACTACAAAGCATATGAGGTGCTTCTCCACTATCCTGACCACAGCATTTCCCAAGAATTCAAAGAAAGCTGTTCTATATAGGTTTTGGAAGTGCCCACAACATTGATCTTTTATTGGGCAAGTACACAGGATAGGGCAAATAACTTTTAAGTCAAGTCATCGATGGGTGTTGTGCTGCTGACCCGCCACTGGAAGGTCTGCCAGGTACCCTGGAGGAGGAAACGTATGATGGCTGCCAGGCTCTCAGCCCCTGTTTGAGCCTCACATCTGGAGTAAGGCTTAATTCACCCCATCTGGCTACTCCTGTGCCTGCTGGCCCTCTCTCTATGGCTTGGATGACAAGGAAAGAACAGTCCCGGCCACCTCCTCCTTGGCTCTGGTCTGCCAAGCTTTAAATATCCCAGGCACCCCTCCTTGGTCCTGTCCCCCTGGCTCTCTTCTCATGAGGCTTGCCTCATGGTGGCCTCACAATCTACTGCCTATACCAGACAGGGGCTGTCAGAAAGACGGGCTGTGTGGCCTCACCCAAAAGCCCATCAGTGGTGCTGATCTCACCAGGCCTGTGTGCATCTCCAGCAGCACTGGATTTGTTCCTGGTGATCCAGAAGAACTGGGTAGTGTGGGGATCCATCCCAGAAGACATCACAGTGAGCTGACACCCCACTACCCTGGAGGGTGTGTTGCAGTGGGAGATGGGAGGCTGAAGCCTGGGCTGCTCCTGGCCTCTGACACCACCTTCTGCTGCAGAATCAAAGCTAATCGGGGGAGGGACACCACCACTCAGTCACAGAGCATCTGCTTTGCACACAGGAGGCGCCAGGTTCAGCTGAAAATACCTCTAAGTTAAAAAGATCAGGCAGAAGGTGATTTAAAAGACGTTTACCTGGAGAGCTGCTGCCTCAGTAGACAATACAGGTTATGACAGAGACAAAGGGTCTAACTCCATATAATGCAGGTTCCTGTGCTCCTCTGATAAGAGTCTAAGCTATGCCAACTGCGCCCCAGCAACATACTTCCCCATTCCCTGCTGCCATGCCACACCCACTCCTTAAGGAAGAATATCATCTCCATACCTATTATTTCATCTACAGTATTAAGACAGACAGCCCGTCTGCACCATATCTGTGGCAGGCTGAAGCTTTTTGAACATAATAAACATTAAGGTGGGGAAATCAAAGCCGAAACAGTTAGCAGTAAATTGGAAATTCTGTTGTAAGTTCAGCAACCACCCAAGGGAGTAATGCTTTTAGAAGGGAAGCAATTTTGTTATCGTAATGCTCTTATATTAATAGCGGGAGGATCATGTAACAACCATAATGCACTGCAATGCCATGAAATGCTAAGTAGTCCTTCCTGCACTGAAGGGATTTGTTGTCTTTAGCAATGAAAGCTTTCTTCATTTTCACTCATGGAATTTTACCAAAGAGCTGATCTATTGTAGCCTTTTAGCAAAGCTATTGACATTCACATAGGCCAGCTCCTCCTCTCCAGAGAATTATTATCAAGCTAATTTTAAAACTAGAAAAATTATTCACCCATTTTTTGGGGGGGAAACCCTTTTTTATTCAAACACATTAGGTCAAGGGAAATACTTCCCTTACTTTCAGCTTCTGAAATCTCTCTTCAAACCAATGACCCAAGACAAAGGGAAAGAACGGAAGTATGTGGATAGCCAGAAAAGGGGGGGGGAGGTTTGGGAGAAGGCAGATAAAAGGGACACTGGTTTCATAGGATTCTATGGGCAGTGATGGTGGAAAGTGCTGTCAAGTCACAGCCAAGTTATTACAATCCCACAGGGTTCTGAAGGCTAGAGATGGACAGAGACTATTTTCCATTGCCTGTCGGTGTGTAATAACCCTGGGCCTTTCCTGGAGGTCTTCTATCCAAGTACTAACCAGGACCAACCCTGCTTTGCTTCCGAGAGCACCTAGTCTGGCCCATCCAGTTCAGGGCACCTGGGAAAGTATGCTGTGCAGAATCATAAGAAGTCTACAAATAAAGTACATTCTGTTTTACAAAGTGATACGTTATGTAAGTGAGAACAAATTCTCAGATTTTTATGAAGGCACTTGTACTGCAAACTTCCAGTTCTTTCATCTTCCTCTTTCATTTTCAGCAACAGTTCCATCCTGGCAACTACCACCCCCATGAGATAGCAGTGTTACTGGCTTCTCTTGTGCCATCTTCAGCTATAGTTCTGTGTTACTGGTTTTTAATCTTGGTTTACTTGATGTTTAATTGATAATGTACGCCATTCTGAGCCCAGCTAGCTGGGGGAGGACAGCTGAAGAATCTAAAATAAATAAATAAATCTGAGCCTGGAAGGCTTTGCAGCACTCTCCTTGCTGCTTTTTCATCTTGTCATTTTTGAATACATGAAGCGGCCTTAAACCAAATATGTCAGGGACTGAACCTAGGACCTTCTACATGAAAAACAGACATTCTACCACTGAGCCATAGTTCTTTTCCCCTTTGATAACATTGTCTCCAGCCTCACAGCCTCTTTACAAAGGCAAACAGCTGTTCTCTGCAACATTCACAATGCGTTCCAACATAATTAAAAACCCCTCATAATTCATATACTCTTAAGGATTCTGCTGATACTTCACCTAGTACTGTGGGAATCAGAGGTTCTAGTAGCCATTTACTGATTAACAATCATGGCTGTGTGAGAACTCACACTACTAAGAACATAGCTCAGTGGAAGTGCATACATTTGGCATAAAGGTGGACCCAAATTCAATCACCAATATCTCCAGTTAAAGAATCACAGGTCAAGGCTAGGAAAGTTTCACCCGAGATTCTAGAGAAAGAAAGCAGTAGCTCCTATGAGGTGGTGATGGCCAGGAGAGAGGAAAACATCCAGACGGCTGCTGAGACGGGGCACGTTGATAACGTCAGACGCTGGCTCAGCGGAGCCAGAAGGACGTGGCTGGGACCAGCAGAAGACGCGAGTCGTGCACCCCATAGGAAGAACTACCCGGAACGAACAGAATGCCAAAGCCAAGTGAAGCGCCGAGTGCCGAAGCTGAGAAACATCCCAACCACCACCACAAGGGTGCTGATAGGTAACCCCTACCCCATATAACTCTGTGGCCCTAGTTAGGGAAACTCGTGTGATTAGCACCAATTGTAAGCCGCTCTGAGACCCTCTGTGAAAAAAGAGGATTCGAGCGGGATATAAAGTTGAAGGTTAAATAAAAAATAAAATAAAATAAATGGAGAAAAAGTGTTTTTCTCCATTATTGTTACAAGAGCTGAATCGAGTCTACCAAAACTATTCAAGGTGGTCTGTCGAGACCTGATCTCCTTGGGGAAGAAAATTCAGTGTAACACTGTGATGCTTTTGCTAGGTTCTTTACTGATGACTTCTGTAATCTGGTTCGATTTAGAAGCCGGCTTGATTGTAGACCCTTTGTTAGAAGCACCAGCTTATCATAGCTGAACAAAAAGTTTTGGCTTTGTCTCACTGACGGATGTGGATAGAGTGGCTTGGGGCTCTGAAGCCTTCCTTCTTGCAATACAG